GTTTCTTCCATCAGCAAACGATCAAACGATGGGATAAAAAAAGACGAAGAAAAGAAGAAGATAAGTATCCTCCCTTTGGATCCGGTTTCAAAAAATGTTCGACAGGATGGTTTGAATAAAAAAGGAACCCTGGATGAAAGTTTCTTCCATGAAACTTGTGCTTCACTGCTCTGAGACGCACAGGTACGTGACGAAGGGGAAAGGCGGTGCATTTGCTTTAAATTTTTTTGTTTTGTTGGTAAAAACAAACAGAAAGCTGCTTACGATTAAGTACACCGTTGCAAAAAACCGACCCAAGGGTTTAAGACGGAATAAGGCTCTTCTTAAGGAAGCCAGTCAACAACGAGTGCGCCAATTAACTGAGGGCTCCATGGGACAACGATGTCGGAAGACGCCAACCTGCTCCCTCGACATCATTAATCCTCACACCTGTCGCTGATTTTAAATTTCCTGTTACATTTTTGAAATGAGAAGAAGAAGAAAAGAGAAATACTGTAAAAACTAGACGGTCGTAGTAGTGAATTGGGTGTCTTACTCCTTTATAAATTCTTATTACGGGCTGGAGAGGGTCACTAACGAAGGGAATAATCTTTATTAAAATGTTGTAACAAGCCGTATAAGGTAATTTTTTGCAGAGAAAAAACAAGGACTAAGTACTGTACTCAAATTTATGTTATGGTTCTCAAATTCATTCATCTCTAATCCGAAAGGCTAATCCAAGAAACAAAAAAATATCTCCTGATTTTCTGAATAGTGGGAAGGAAGTATGGGAACTACCGATTGAAAGGTTCCACTAATATAATATTCAAAACTGTATCCTCTTGATATCGTATTGAATAATCATGGATTGTTTGGATTCATCTGCTACCCACGTTCATTGCAAACAAATTTGTCACGTGCTTTTTCATCATAACAATATTTCCCGCGTGTTGTTTATTTGAAATGCAGAATTTAAATTTCATTTCAAGCTACATTTCGATCTAAATAAATTCCAAAAAAATCTGACATTCAATTGAAAAACCATTTCAAAAGCTGGAATGGCTTGGGTCATGAAAAGGATTTCGACAACCCATTTCATTCTATTATCGATTTAAAAAAAAAAATCAAACTCCAGATGAAAATGCTCGAATCCTACGATTAAAAATACAGGCTACAGACACCTTCAGACTGGCCCATGAACCAGTCCAATAAAATTGCCTTAGCCTCTGACATACCAAAATTGCTAAATTTTCCTGTTTACAGCAAGTTGTATGATGTATTTCCGTTATTGGTTCTCCTATCTATCTCCTAAAAATTATGTCCTTAATACTGCAAGTCTACATGTATAATGTAAAAAAAAAAGTTATGGTGAAAAAGTTAAACCTGTAGCTAAAATGTTTGTTTGAAGTTTGAATCCTGAAGGGACAGTTGATTATTCATTGTCAGTTTGTGTGTGTTGTTACCAAGAATCTATAACATTTGTTGCAAGGTTTTTCCTCTACAGAAAAATTGCCCATTTTTATTTCTTTCAATTAAGGAGCATATGGAAATTCTCCCCCTGCAGCTGTTCCCTGTTTATATTTTTCTTTATGAAAGAGGGTTTATTGCCGTCTTCCCCATGAATGGAGGTCTTTGTTTTTTTTTAAGTTGAGACGAAATGTGTTGCTGCAATTATTTCCAAGGATTGCAGGTTTGATTTTATCAGGCCTCCATACATGAGTAATTGCAGTCCAGTAATGATTTCGGGGTTAACTTTCCCGATGATTTAAAACGCTCTTAGTTGTTTTAATTTGACTAGCAAGAATGGCACCACATTTTTTAAAGAAACAGAGTCACATCATTTCCTTACAATTGAAAATTAATTGATCTTTCAAGCATTCAGAAAGTGATTCATAAATACAGCTTACTCAAAATCTGCTAGAACTGGATCTGCATCATGATTGAAATTCTAAATCATGAAAGTCATTGCATACTCATATCTAAACAAGAATGGATATATATGCACCAACTATCAATTCAATTTCCACGGCCATATCACTGGATGATATGAAAATATTTAGAGATCTACCCAAACCCAAAAATCTAACATGAATGTGATGGAAAAATATTTGCAATTTATTCATATAAGAAATTTCATGGATTCAGATGCATTAAAGGCACTCTCATTCATTTCCGTTCGAGCAACAATATAAGAACGAATTTGGGAAAGTCTCGGAAATGCAAAGTTTTGAGGTTATAAGTATTTCTGTATCCTCAAAGAAGTACTTTACTGTATACGTTTATTGCATCGAGTATGCATAATTAAGGGGCTTTTTTCAGCCGATACGCAATATATCATCATGCGAGCAGAATGTTTTCAGAACGTTATTCGCTTGATACGGATTCCAAAAATTGAGGTGAACTGCTCAATAGAGCGTGTCAATGGTTAAAGCAACAAAACAGATAACCCTACTGAATAATTTGAACATTCCTGAAGACAAGAAACCGCAAATTCCCAGCTCCCTTTTGCTTTAATTTTGGGCGGGCATCAGCTTGCATCGCACATACCGGCCGTAATTCACTTGGTTAGCTAGCGTCCTCTGTTGGCGTTTTCACAACTCCTGGCAATCTCGAAAGGATGATGTCGCTCTTAGATTATCCTCCACGGTACTGTATTCGTAAATTGCTGGATAACCCCAAGCTATGCCGAGGGGATCCTTGGTCGATACCCGTATTCTGCACTTGTTGAGAGCTTTCCTCTGCTAAACTCTGTGTTAATAACAGAATAAAACTGCCGTCGAATCCCGACATAATGGACCACGCAACACACGGACAATCCAAATTACGAGCGCTTATTGAAACCAAAAACAAAATTGCCATGACATCCAAACGATGTCTCGCAATAGGGACACTTTGACAACATAGCTGGAAATATTTAAAATGTTTTCGAACTTATTTGTTTCATTGGGGAATTATTTCAACTCATAATTGAAAACAGCTAATTTGTTTTTCAGAGTTTTTATCATCTTGTGTAACAGGTAGGATTGTTCTTTGCATTGTGGGCTTCTTTTCATACCAAAAAATCAGATTATATGTGCTTTTTCTCTGCACATTTATACCTCCTCTATGATGAAGTTGAGAAAATGTTTATTGAAATTTCTGGTGACTTTATTCCTAATTTTTGATGAACAGGAGAACCAATGAAATGTGCTTCCATTGATGTCTGCGGAAAAAACATGAACTGACATACGGACGCTCATCCAAAAATAGGGACAAGGTCCAAGCACCACTTACGTCAATATCTCAGGGCCTTCTGATCGTAATTACAAGCGTGAAATTGACTGCTTTTCGTCCCGCTCAAAAATCCAACGAAAAGGTTACTGAAAAATAAAGCAAAATCGTACAATACACTTTACAGTATTTAGGAATAAAATCAATTGGTTTACGATTGGTTGTCTTGCTTTAAGCAAGACAATTTTCAACCATTAACTCCCTGTAAGCGTCAAACTTTCTAAATACAGGATAAGCTTTATCTGGATTTCTAGAAAAGATAGTGATTTTCAAAAAGGTAGGTAAACTTGTTGTTGATGACAACATTCACCACAAATAAGGATGAAAATTAGAAAAAGAAAAGCATAATCAGCATGGGACAAGTCCGCAGAGATTCTTCATAGAATCCCTTCTTTAACTTCAAAGCGTATTTCAGATGATTGTCACAACAAAGGCAAATATTTGAAAAAGTCACAAAAGATATTAATGAACAGGAAAAGCCTCCCATCAAGCTCAAATCAGTAACAGACTGTTCACCTCACAACCACTATTAGGCTCAGACTGATGATGAAATTGTGCAGAAAGGGGTTTTTATTAATTATTGTTACTGGTGGCCTTAATCCAGCACTCTGGTTGGAGATCAGGCAATTTTTAGAGGCCTGGGATTGGCCAGGAAAATATGAGTAAAAGAGGACTCCAGGGACAGAAACTCAGAGAAAAAAATTCTTCAAGTTTTGGGGTTTTTCTGGGGCTCTTGATGCTACCAGTTTTTGTCCTTCCGTGATTTTTCCATCCCTGCCTCAATTAGGTGTTTGTCACACTGGAGCAGTGGGTCCCCAGCACTTGTCTTAATTTGTTATCAAGTGTGCGGACACCATCACAGCTTTTGAATGAAACGAAGTATAAGCAAACAGCATCAGCATAAACATTTTGTGAATCGGCCCTTCTCCTTTGCTGTACATCTTCTTCAATTTTATTCCTTTTTTGTTTCAAAGCATGCAGCTTCTCTTATACGTATTTTCAGAAACTTCAAAACAAGCAACTCGAAATGTATATCCAGATGTCACTAACTTTTAAAGCATTGGCATAGGAAAACAGCTGATACCCGTCAACATCCCAGCTGAACAGTTCCTAGCTAAATTTAGCACATACCTCCTGGAGCCAAGGGAACCTTCTCCCCGTGCTTATAGTATGCAAGGTCCAAAAACCTCAAATCTGTGAGTGGAGAATGTGTCCCGAGCTACAAGTTCCGGACATGAAAATGGCTTCCTGGAGTTCGATTTTTCCACCCCCTACTTCTTCTCCAGTGTGGCAAAAAAATATGTGAAAAGAAGTGAAGTATTTTCTCAGAATTGAAAAGAGGATTACTTTTGATGTTTCGTGGTGCTTTGAGGATCATTACGTTTAGTTCTATTGAATCCTCGTGGAGTTTTGAGTGTGTGTGTGTGTGTGCAGTCAATCCGAAACGAATTTACGTTATTTATTATAGAGAGCGGTAATTCTCTTCCATCATCTCAGCTGGGTTCTTCTTACCTAAAAAAAAATATGTGAAGGTCACGCCATATTTTGAGTCGTTTGAGAAACTCAAGGATTTTTCAACTCAGTTCCCGTCTATATATAGCTGCAGCTGAGATTTTGAATTTGGCTCCACGAAATCAAAGTTCAATGATGGGAACGTGTTTTTATTAAAAGTGGGCATCTGTGAATATGAAAGAGGCGGTTTCTAGATTTTTTTTTTTTTTCGTAGCGTAATGTAGAATCCTTGCAATTTCAGCGAGGAAGAAGACATAGTAAACATCCAGGCCCCTATACAAAGCAGGTGCTCGTGATTGTGGGTGAATATTTGAAGAATTAGAATGTGGGGTGGTGTTGAATTCACAGCAGAAAATACTGCTTTGTTGGCTGATCGAGAAGATGGACATCCTCGCTCAAGGACTGTAAGGAACTCGAATACTGATGAAGTTTTGTTTTTTGTATCACAATCTTGGAGGGAATTCCACTTTTGAAGGATACTATTCTTTACACAGATATACGTTGAAATATTCGTTATATAAAGAATATCATTGTAGGCAACATTGTTGTAGAGTCTACTTCAGGTATATGAATACTTGTTTCCCATATTGGGAGCTATTTTCAATTTTGGGGCATAGAAAGGCTTGTTATATTTTAAATGATGTATAATCTAGTATACATCAGTCAACTCTCGCACAATGGACTTGATTCATGTAACAGACTAGTATATTATCTGTTATGTGAAAAGTCTGTTGTGGAAAGTCAATGATTAAAAATTGAAATTTTTACTTTTTACCATCAATTTCAAACCAACAGAGTTCGTCAGGCAGATGTTATCCAGGGAAAAACTGACTTCAGAGGTGGTCTGTTACACAAATATCCATGAAGTCTGTTAAGCGGGTGTACAAATACAAGACATTTTCTTTTAATTGAGTGTGTCAGTCTACTTTGCTGGCTGCTAAGCAATGGCTTAATAATGGGTTTGAAATTATCAATGTCAGAACAAATTTCGAAATTTGAAGCATTATTGTACACTGATAATGTACCGTATGTCTCTTTTATCCAATTTTTCTTTGCAGACCATCGAAAAGCTTCCCGACAAGGTCCTGATGCACATTTTCTCCTATTTGCCGCATAGAGAAATCTGCAGGAATGCGAGGGTTTGCAAGAAATGGCGAATGATTGCTTACGATTCTCGACTATGGAAATCTGTGTCTCTACGACCTGAAATATCTGGGTTGCAAGTCACCAGCTTGGAGAACCTCTTGGCACTTCTCAGGCAATATATGTTTTAGCTATTTTTTTTAATGAAGTGACCTTTAATGACATTCAATTATATGGATGCAGTGTTAGATTCGGGCCTTCATTGCAATACATTGAGCTGCCTATTGAGTTGATCACGCACACGGTCTTGCATGAATTGGCCAACAAATGTCCGAATTTGACCAGCATGTTGATGGATTTTTCAACTGCCATGCAACTTCATGACTTCAATGAGCTACAGGTGCTGCTTCTTCATTTTCTCTTTTTCAACATTTTGAAGATTCCATTATTTTTTTCATATTTGCTCTTCTATCTGTGCAACTTAAGGCATTCCCTGCGAAGCTAAATTCTCTCTGCATCTGTTTGTCCGGGGTCATCTTCATGGAAGGTTTCATGCGCAAAATTTACAACTTCATAAACGGCCTGGAAGTTCTCCACTTGATCGGTGAGAAAATTACCAAATCATAATATTTGTCTCACGATTTCCGGCATTTACTCGAGTACCACGCGCACCTGGGTTTCTGGTCCAAACATTTGGGTAATTATTGTACTGTAGGCCGCAGTACGACGCGCAACCCATGTTGAGTGACTAAAAGGGAAACTTTTTGAATAAACAGTCAAGTCAAATTTCCAGGAACCAGCCAACAAAAATCGAGTTAGGGTGGTTTTGAGGGAAAGGGGTCTCTATTTATACGAAAACAAGCAATTTCATTGCGGGAAATGCAGAGGAATTGCAGGATATTATACATGGCGACATTCTGGGCCTTAAATTGTTTCTGAAATCGGTTGAAATGATACATAACTTGGAGGCAAGGGTTCCTTTGCTTAATAAATCATTCACTTACTTTCAAATCTCAGAATGAAATCAAAATATTAATTTTCTCTTTCCTGTGCCAAAAAAAATGATAGCCAAAATGATTCAGAAGATTAGAGTTGTGGGGGTCTCAGAGAAAATAATGTACCTTCAAGTCACAGATATTTTTCATGCATTGTTTCTAAGGGAATTCAAATAGGGACTTGAAAAATGTTTGACCTTGGGAGGTATTTGACTTATAGGGAGGTTTAAGTTATCAAGGTTCAACTATACTAGGTATAAAAATCAGAATTTTGACTTGAATCAAACCTAAATTGAATGAATGTTTTCCATTCAAAGTATTTATTGGTTGAACACTTTATTTGAAATTTTATGTAACGATCATGATGAGCACCGGCACTTTTCAATAATTTCAAAAATTATATATGCGCTTATGACGCGCACCCTCTTTTTTCCAACATGATTTTTTTCGAAGATGCGCGTGTTACTTGATTAAAAACGGTAATATAATGTTGTTGTTTTTTTTGCTCTCAAAAGGTACCTATGAACGAGTGGAAGAAGAGGAAGAAGAGATTTACGAAGTCGTCAACATCCACAAGCTCAAGTCGGCCACACCCAACCTGGTGGTAGTGAATCTGTACGGAATCAATTTCCTCGACGATGGACACGTGGAAGCCTTCAGCTCAAACTGTATCCAACTGGAATGCATGTCAGCTCCGTATTGCGGCAAGGTCACTGGGTCTTGCCTGAAAACCCTGCTGAATCGGTGCAAGCGTCTGCAATGTCTCATCCTCACGCAAACGAGTATGTTCAGCATGTTTTCATGTCATTCACCAGATTTACACCGGTAACAAATTCACTTTTTATCTCAGAAAATTAGGCAAAAAGGTGTTTGAACGGGTTTACGACGCATACCAGGCATTCATATTTAGGATATACAGTATCCACTGGAACCAGTGCACATCATATACATAAGTATAAAAGAAAATGTATATATATAAATCGGAAGAAAATGCTTGGCACTAAGTTACATTGTCCATTGTCGCGTGCCGAAGCGACGCAGCTCCAGCATCCGGTTTGCAGAACATAGGAGTGCTTGGTAATCACATAAATACAGTATTACAATAAAAAAATGAGTTCACACAACAAACTTCAAAACAAATTTTTTTTTCAGAAAGCAATAATCAAGATATGCAGCATACAGGGATATTGTTCGGCAAATTTATCTTTAAAATTGCAGCGGGTGTCATTATTACTAAGGTTGCCTGGTATTCGAGTGAAAAAAATTATTCTGTTATGTGAGAGGTGTGATCTAAAAATGTGCTGAGACCTAAATATGGGCACTTTGTGAAAGTTCCTTTACTTGTGTGCACTTGTATATAGCGAACATGTTTTTAAAATATCTTTCCATTCGGGTTTTTCAACACCTGGAAATAAATAGGTCTGAAGAGCGAATACGTGATGAACGTGGAATGGGACAAAACTCAACTGCAGGAACTCGACATAACGGCGACTGACCTAAGCCAGGAGTGTCTCATAGAAATACTCACCAAACTGAAGCAATTGCGGTACTTGTCAGCTGGACAGCAGGACAGTTTCAACGACAAAGTTCTGGCGAGGTTTCTAGAACAAGGCAGCCCTGGGAAACTCGTGGCATTGGATTTGGACCGATGCGACAACTTGTCCAATGAAGGGCTTCAGGCTCTTTTGGGCAAATATGGGTCCAACCTCCTGGGACTAATTTTATCTGGGATCCCAACAATCACTGATCAATTGCTCATTTCCGTGATGCCGCAGCTGAGGAACTTGAGGATCCTAGGGGTGGGAACTGCTGAAGGCTGCTGTCCAAAGGTATGTGTCGGATACCGTGATTCAAATCAAAATTGTCATAAAAAGAAAATAAGAAAATTTCCCTGTAATGATTTGGCTAATCATTTGACTTTCCCCGTGCATGAACTGAACACCACCGTTCCGAATTAAAAATAACTTCGTTCCTCTTTACTGTAATGCCTCGGTTGCTGACGAATTTGAGTTCGAAAATGAAAACGTAGAAACGAATTTGCTCAATAATCTTCTTCATAGGATAAAATCCTCCCGTTGTAAGCAATACAACCTTTGTAAGTAATTTAAGTAGTTAAAAATATCCCTGTAAATTAATATGAGTGAAATATTGCGAGTCATGTTTCATCCGGTTTCATTTATTTCAGCAATTTTAAATATAATTCTAGCTCGTATTATTGCTCCCTCTCTCTCTATTTTGCTAACTCAATTTCAAATGTCCGAGGAAGAATAAAAGAGATTAATCTGTGACCCTTTCTTAAGACCTCCAACTGTTCCTTTGTTGAGCAGCTCAAATTAAACCGGAATGAATTCTATACTGTATTGAAGTGTATCAAACGCGTACCGGAAAATTGAGACAAAAATCAGTTTCAAAAAGTAAAATCCGTCTTTTTTTTACGCCGTCGCGATTTTTTCTTCAAAGATGACTCATAGTTTCAAATGATCGTGGCGATAAAGTCATTGAATTTGGAACCGTCATAAAATGAGCAATAATAGTTTGGCCGAATATGAAGGCAGCTTTTGAAATTTGTTTGAACTACAGTATTTCAATTGAAATAGTGCAGGGACAATATTTGGAATCGTTTGAGAGATACTGTAGTGGTACCACCAGCAGTCAAGATTTCTCAATTCCCCTCTAGAATGAAACTTGCTTCGATGATTAATTGAGAAAAGTAAATGTTTTTTCCGGAAAATCATCGAGCTGATAATGATGCATTTCGTGAGCAGTTTCTATTTTGTCAAAGTCATTGAAAACAGTGACGCAAAAAAGCCAACATCGACATAACCTCTTCACTTTTTGTTTTTATTCGTCTCAAAATACATCATCACGACAAATCCAATCCATCACGGAAAATGTTCTCGGAAATAATTATGTTCTCTTCACCGTGTATCTCATCGTTGGATTCAACATCAAAGGTGGCGCATGAATTACTCCGAAAATATTTGCATAAAAAACCCGCAGCTGAGTGGATGGACCCAAATCTATTCATATCTCTTATTTTTATATTGTTGAATATATGGTTCAGGATTATGTCGCATAAATGGAAAACGTTTTCAATTGTTGAAAAGGTGCATACCAAGGTTCTGGTGGACCAATTGGTTGAAGCAATCGCCAACAATTGTCATAAATTGGAAAGAGTTGAAATTCGGTGGGACGGAGACACTTTGAGGCACTCTGACAAATCCCAAAAGGCCATTGATCATTTGCGAACGAAAGCTTTGCGACTCAAAAGTTTGGTACTGAGGTCAGACCTAGATATATTTTTTTTTCAATACTGTGTTCGAAATTGTGAATGTCTTTTTTTTTTGGTTTTCAGTGAAGGGAAATACTTCGAGAACGTGAAGGCGAACTTCGAAAGAGCAGATAGACCAACAGTGGTTCGCTCAAACACTCTTTGCAGTGTCAGCAATTGTTACCTACTCAGCCATTATAAACACCTTCTTTTCAACTGATTTTTTTCCAAAGAGAAACAAATATCAAGTTACAGAGTGTCATCGACTTGTGCGTTCTGATTTTTTTTTTAGAAATACAGTATACACTTCCCACCATCATTTCGGAAATTGTATTCATGCAGGATAATTCTTCGTTATCGTCTGTGAAATTTACTGCTGTGAGGCACATGAATCGAATCCATGTTGATGCAGTATTCTGCATTAATATATTGATGCGTTACTCTAACAGTATTCCAAATTTTCGAACTGCTAAGCATTTCCTAAAAAGGAATCATTTTGAGTTGAAATTTCAGCAAGAAGAACGCTCTTTGGAAGATTTAATTTAAAAAAAAAAAAAAAAACGCCTGAGGAGACCCATTTGTAAATATATTTAAAAAATCGTTTTACTCTGAATTTTGTTTCAACAGTGTTGAGTTCACTTTCTGTTGATTTTATAACCTGTCACCTCAACTTGGATATTCTCCAACCTCTTTTCATGGGCTCAGACGGGATTTGGGCATTAATAAAGAAAACTGTCCAAGATCCTTTCTTTTTCATCGATTTTCCTTTTTTTGCGTTCGAAATTTTAGTCGTTGGGTTGCCTGCTTTTTATTTCTACCACTGAACCATATTGACCAGCTGTCAATATGGTTTCTTTCAAGGTAGTGTATTGTTATAAGAGGTATAATTTTCAAGAAGGATGTTGTAAATTTGTTCGGAAATAATTTGGAGGAAGGCCCGTTTTTTCTTGTTAAAAACAAATGCATGAAGTCATGAGGAAAAGTTGAGTTTCGTTTAGATGCTTATTCACCATTAACAGAGCTGCCTTTGACCCATGCATCATTTTATTACAGTTGTACTGCCCACCAACCCGTGGTCCGCGGACCGACGACGGTCCGCAGAAGTTTTTTACTGGTCAATGGGAACTTTTCTACTGCACATTTAATCTAACAGAGGTAGAAATGAAGTCTGTTCTCTCTATCTGAAATTTTGGAAAGACAATTGCAGTGGAAATTATCTGATGAAAAAATTCAAGTTGGCTTTTCTCCTAATGGCACTTCAAACACATTTTCACCTGCTAAAAATAATTATTGCAATTTTTTCTGAGAAGCTTTTCTTCCAGCCCACTTTTCTATTTTCTTGAAGACATACTACTATATTTCTACTTTGGCAGTTCTTAATTTTGACAAAAATGTCTGCCATGAAGTCTTTCAAGCAATTGAGGCTTTTTTGAGTCTAAGTCAATTTTATGAAACTTGTCCGCAAAAAAGATTTCTGGAAATTTGCCATTCCAAGGGGTACAAAAAGGTTGGTGAACACTGCGCTGTAGTGAGCAACTTTCTTCCTATTCATGAATAAATGTATAGTCAACTCTAGAGTAGACCAAGATTTCATCAATGGGTATTTCAGAACACCTCTCATGGACCCAGGAAAAAAATCCGGGGCATCATAAATTCTCGAAAACGTCGGGAAAAATGCGAATTGGACACGACGTGATATTCATGGCCTGACTTCATATCACTACCACATCTGGCGTAGGGATATGCGACATTGGCAAGATTGACACTGAGATTTTACGCGAATTCGTCAATATGTTCTCCCCTCATCACAAAGAAACAATTTACAAAGCAATGTCAAAGTAATGAGCATGACTGTATCCGAAGAGCTGAAAATCCAGCTCGTACTTCTTCCGCAGCTGCAACACCTGCTCCTTGGTGATCTGCGCGAAATACGCGTCTCTCACATCACTGGTTGGCACCCCGTGGGTCAGATGTCGCTGCCGGTCCGCCAGCACTCCGTTCCGCTCATCGACCTCGACCCGATTCCCGTCCATCGTCCCCGCCGTGACCCGCTTGAGATACTCGTAATCCTGAGTCAGAGTCTCGAAATGAGCCACGACGTCGTAGCTGACCCAGCACGGCGTGCAAAATAAATAATACGGGATCCAGTGATCGTCGCTGTGTAGCACGAGGTCGGTGTCGATGAGGTATTGCACGAATTCCGGGAAAGTTGGCTCTTCCCGGCCGCGCAATTCCAGCTGGCGTGCGGGATTCTTTCTGTAAGTTTGCACGATTTTCCGACCGTAAGCCTGGTAAAAATGCTCAGTTCCGTGGCGAAGGCCCGAATATCTACTTTCCAACTTGTCCCTGTAAGCTGACAACACTCGGTCAAAGGGGTGTCGAACGACGAGGAATCGCAGGGAATCACTCATGGCCTGTGAATAAATAATAATAGATTAATAACAAAAATTATGAAAAGAATTCTGAGAAAATTAAAAAGTGAAATAGAAAAATAGGTAATAATAACAATAAAATTAGAAAGAGATGGCATATTTCGCGAATTTTAATGTAAGTATTTTATTATGATATATCTGAGATTGCACAAACAAAAAGCAAAATTGGGCCCAGGAAAAAAATTTCCGAATTAATTGAATGCTTTTCTGAAATGATACAGTGGAATCTCGTTGAAATTACTGCTAGTAATATATTTATAACGAATAATCGATCACAGCAGCAAATTCGCGTTTTCGGTCCTTGATGACAAGAGCTGCAATGCTATTTGAATTCGCTTATAAATAATTTTTCTTTATTATGAAGCCATCATGGTGATCCAAATGGCTTTGTTACAATGAGATTTTTCAGTAATTTTCTAATGACTCTGGAAATTTGATCATTTCGAAGCTTTTATGCTTGACTTTTTCATTGATCATTAGACGCAGTTCACTAATTTAAAAATTCCCGTTCCCTGAACAGTATACGAGTATATAATTCAAATTGATCATGACGTCATTAAACCAAAATGAAAATATTTGCGGGTTTTTGGATAACGTGTGTACTTCTATGAGGGGGTTTTCAAAGATTCGAAGAGCGGCGTGATGCAATTCTTTAATGATTTCCAAATTTGAGACTGCATTTCGGCCAAGAAAGTATTGCTGTGTACCATGTTTACTCAAGTACAGTACCACATTTTTTTCTAAAAATTCAGAGCAAGTGCGAGGCGTAAATTTTTCAAAACGTTTCAGCACCGAAAGTGCACAATATGATTTATTATATAATTGGGAATATTGGACCAATAATGTTATCAAAACAACTCATTTTATTGAAAACATTCAAAAATAGTTGAGTTCACGTTCAATTCCCGTCTAAATTCCAATTGGGACGTTTTTCATTCCTGAAATATTGCAATTTTGGACTTGTAAATATTTTGTGCATGTCTGACTCGAAGATGCAATGTCATTAAAATTTTGGACTGAAAAACCTTAGTGAGTCTCATTCAAGGACGAGTTTTATTACAGAGCATGTTACGGTGTATTATATCAATTAATATTGAGACGGAGAAGCGATCAATCAAACTACCAAAAAAAAATTCAATTCGTTCAACTAATCGGTTCCAGTATACAGTATAGTAAATAAAAGAGTATACTACATACAATTGTTATCAAGAAGGATGAAAAAAAGAATAGTGCATGCATCAGTTTTTCCCGGAATTTGCAGACTAATCTTAGCCCGCGTTCACATCATGAAAATTTTCTAGTAAATTGCCGACCTGAATTGCGTCTTGTCCACCGATACTCGGCAAGACTTTCCGCGCAATTTCGCTCAACTGCCGAGCAGAATCCCGCATTTCGGTCAAGGTTATGTTATTCAACAACGCCAACTTCACCAGCCAGGATGACGAACCCGCCTTGTAAATTGGGCAGTACGCCAAATGATGCTTCCTGGAACATAAATCAAATGGCAACAGAGTGTATGTCGCTCTTTCGGGAGTCTTCCAGCCACGTGATTGATCGTCAGCAGCATTCGTATCCACCACACACATCATGCACCCACACACACACACAAAAAAAGGAAGAAAAGAATACCAGTGCCAAGTTAATAAGGGGTCGAGATGTGAACGGGGATTTTATGGATTATCCAATCAGCAGTGTTTTCATTGTGTTCGTGGTTCATTTTGTGTGGGAGTTTATACCTGTCAAAGTAGAAGGCTTCGTATTGGGGAGTCGGCGGGTGTCTGAATTTGGGCCTGGGGGAATGGTCGACTTGGTATCTGCCCAAATTATACCGCCGACACGTGTCAACAATCCTCAACCGTCGGTCCAGCATTCTGGCTGAATCAGGATCTGACTGTGAAAAACAACCATCATTTTTCAATAGGCCTCAATCCCTAATGAAAAAATTAATTTTGTTTGCCTCTTCGTTCGTGAATCTTGAGGTTTTCTTATATGGGCATAATTTAGCTATAGCATTGATGGAAGCCTTGAGATTATTATTTTAAATCATGGGAGGTATGTTTCTTCATGCCTGATACGAACAGTTATTACATCAGTACTGTATATTAACTGTAAAACCCTTGATAACTGCAACCCCAAGTTAAATTTTTTTTTCAAGTTCCTGTCTGAATTACCTTAGAAACAATGCATTGCTAACCACCCTATCTAGAAGATTTTTCTCTCAAACCCTGGTACCTTGAATTTTCTGGAGGCCTCTTGGCTATTATTTGTTTGACGCAGGAAAGATGAAAGCAGTGAAAACATATTTGGCAAAGAAACCCTTGCCTTCAAATTCAGCATCCTAGCTGTCAGCTAGTCTGTCCAAGAAGCAAGCTGAGGGCAAGAATATCACCAATTACTTATTCCCTTTTTTTTATGTCTCTGTTACACAAAAATTGTTTCCCTAACTCAAAATTTCCTTAACTGGAATTCTTCTGCTGCTCCATTGAAATTTGATTCAAATATGTTTCACTGTACCTATCAGAAGAAACACTGACTTGAAAATTTGCATTTTTTTTGGATGAATAATCAATCAACGAATACACTGTGTCCTCAAGCTCAAACAAGAACTGCGTGCAGATTGGTTGTACATTTACTTTAGATTTAAAAACATACAGTACTGTATACCGCAGTATTATATGCTCCGTTTTCACTAAAGTGGTGCGAAAATTTTGAGTGCGCAGAGGGAGAGGATGATAGTAAATTGTGGCGGCCTTGAATGAGAGGGTTACTTTTTTATTCTTTTGAAATCAGTTTCGCGGTGGTGCGATAAAAAATCCAACGAAAAGTAATGGGAGCAGCTTTACCAATACAGTACCTTCTTTTTCGCAATATTACGGCAAATGACATATTTCTCTCATCTTTCACAAGTTCCAAAAACTTCACTCCATCACATTTGATTTTTCCTTCAATTTTGGAAATCCGTTAGAAAATTGAGAAGATAAAAGTGATCACCTGATTCTTGGCCGCGTCTCGCAGCCGACGAACGAAAGGTGAAGCAGTCAATGGGGAAATATCCAAGTGTTTCTCACCCAGAACCTTCTCACTGCCTCTCATGTCATCACCATTTATTGAATCATCAAGAACCCACACCAAGGACATGGAATTGCTTCGTAATAACACGCAATACAATCCCAGCAGAAAACAGGCTCCGGAAAGAACATATAAGCCAACGACTTTCTTCCGCCGAAACCGGAAACACCGGCATGAACTGCTGCACAAATGGATCGGCAACAGCTTGGAAACCCCCATTTTTGTAGAACACAAAAAGCCC